GGGGGGGAGGTGAATTTACAGTCAAGTAAATTAAAAATGCGAGGCAGACATTTAGACATTGACATTTACATAATTTCAGTACTTGCCAAAGGCTTTGTTTTCCGTAGATACGTGCATGTATGGCCCTGTTATTATTTTGCATGACCAAGGAAAATTACCTATAAAGGAACTACATTGTAAGACAAGTCTATGGATCAGTGTAGCACATTCTCATACCTTTTTTCAAACAGATTGACCAAAGGGCACTAAAGCAAAAGATAGGTGCAAAATGGGTAGGGTAAATAAATTGTAACAGAAAAACCAGCATAACTTTTAAAAGTACATTCGTCCTTCGCCATCCTCCTCAGTGCAAAAGTACACCCACTGCTACAGTGGAAAGTAAGTAACAGTGGAAATCTCTCACTTCCAACATAGCAAAAAATGAGTTATAGTTAATAACATAATGGCAAAGCACTTTGTTACTGAAGCTCAAGCCTCAGATGTATTCTTCGAAAAACTTCAAAATTTCCGGAGCAAATAGGTCTCCTGTGCTTTGTAAAACGTCATTTCTCAAATGCTTCCGGAAGTGTGATCTCTCGAATCAGCCAATCACATTTTAAAGATTCACCCACGTGTTTCGGATAGGAAGCACTTAATTCGTTTATTCTTGAAATTTATTTTGTCCCTTTACATTTAAGTGAGAGAATAACTACATAGCAATATATGAATTTTATCTTTCTTCTTCCCCAGCATATATTGTTCGAATCATGTTCAAAGATGAAAAAAAGAAAGAAAAACACTATGATGCTAGCGATTGTAGCCCAATTAATATATAAAAATAGATAAACATTAAAAATGTAATATTTGTAGTACCTTAAATGAACGCAATGCTCCTTCAGATGAGGTGAAAAGAAATGCTGGTTAGAAGCTGAAAATGTTTGCAAGCTGAAATTTATGTCTACTCCTAACCGCAATGAAAACATACTCGAATTACACGGTTATCAAATTCTTATAATTATACATTGTATGTATGATGTAAATGCATATAAATTATCATTTTATCATATTAAAATTGATCCTCACAAAAATGAAAAAAAAATGGCAAAGTTTAATAGTATGATTAAGAAATATAAACAAATACAAAAAGGGGACTGATAATAAATGATCGGCTTTATCTAATCTATTAGGGTAAAAACAAATACACGTTTCCAAAATTTCTTAGCAGTCTTTACTAAGACTTGTTTTAGACTTTACTCTCCTGTTGAAGATTACCCTGGTACTCTGTTACCACAGATCTCAGCAACACGTGTGTGTAAATTAAAAAGCTTCCATTCATGAAACATGTCAAATAGTGCACTTCCGTTGTAAACCAGGTTTCACCGTGTAACATAAGTATTTCCGAAACTACCATGTACTTTTCGAGGGTCCCAAGTGCTCTTGACTTGTCTTCCTTGAGGCGTGGCAACTCGACAGGGAGCGCTCCAAAACCAATATAAGCCGCAGCCGATGCAGCCTCAAGCACACTTTCACGCCACTTCGAGAAAGAGCCAGAAAGAGAAAACTCAAGTGAAGATACTGGACAAGATTAAGATTTTCTAGCTTTATTTCATCGAAAATCTACAAATTCAAGTCGACCAAAGATGATGAAGAACTTGATAGCAGTACTCTTTTTTGTGGTGATTGGACTGAGTCAGCAGGTAAGATTTTTCCCTCGTAACAAACGTCTTCTCAATTTCTTAGATCGAAATGTTATTGAGGAATGTTTTGTCTGAAGCCGTGAAAAGCAAATTTTAAGGTATTTTCGATCATTTATATGCCCATATTTACGACTTTGTTGAAATATATTTTTAAACCGCCCATTACGTAACAAAAATGACCAGACGACAATTATTTGCTTGTTTTTTTAATTGAAAACTTTAAAATGTGACATTTTTTATCAATTAAAACACATATTTCTCACCCCAAATAACGGTTACAACAAGCATAGATCATTTAAAATGTGTTTTAGTATCGTGAAAAGCTGCTTACATATCAATAAAAAACTATTTCAGCGAGTAATTTATATTGCTATAAACAAAACCGCAAAGTGAACATTTTGCAGCAGTTAGTTTCACACTACTAAATTCCACTTTTACATTTGTACATTTTCAGTAAAGGGAGGGTAATGTTACATTACAAATTATTCTACGGTGAAACGGAATTCTTTTTATTCTTATGCGTATTTTGATCGGACAGAGAAAAAACGATTGCAATCTGACGAAAAACCGCAGCTTCTTGGGAGACAAAACATCCCCAAGCGCACGCTTCCAGGGTTTCTCGAATAACGAACTACATTTGGTACCTTTTTAGTTATTTATTTTTGGTTCACAATGTGAAATGAAATCTAATCCTAAATACATGTAGAAATAGCTACCGAAATTTATGATGCACAAAAAAGGTGTTTTTTTCTCTCTTTTTGGGTCATTTTATCCTTTTGTAGTCGGACCTAAATATGTAACAGCATTTTGTTATGTTGACAGGCGCTTTGAAGTGATTCACTTTTCAATGACTTTATTTTTAGCAACTTTTTTCTTTATTTTTAAATTTGTGTATCTGACTGTTGCTCATTCAATTAATGACCTATACAGCTGTCCATACGCTAGGTCATGGTCTGGAATAATTCCGTGCCGTGAATGTTTCAAACAGTGACTAGACTTCGTAAAATAAGCAGGTTAACCACAAGGTTTTAAATTGTTCGTTTAAGAACAAAACATTCAACACAAAACAGTCGCTTGTGGGGGTGGGGCGTGGAGGGGGGAGTAACGATCTGACATAAAATGACATAAATTTGTTTGGGTTTATGTCAGCAAAGTAGCACCATATTCCAATACCCGCATCAACCATTTTCTCTCTCATTTTTTTTAGGAATCGATATCATTTCTCCGTAGCGACAGCGAAAGACGGATCTTCAACCGCAAAATTCGCACCGTTTTCCGACGCCTAGACACCGACGGGAATGGCGTGATCAGCAGATCGGATTTCGAAGCCGTTGCGGAGAAAATCATCCGATGCCACCCTGACATGAGTGAGGAGAGAAAGGATCAAATCCGCCACGAGATGACAGATCTTCTGTGGGAGCAGAACTTCGCGGGGGGTTATGACGGAGAAGGGCCACGCCCACCTATCACGCTTGCTCCGTTCGTGGATGCCATGTACGAGGTCTTTGCTAACCGACGTAAAGATGTAGGTGATTTCTTTACATTGTCATTTGTAGCATGTTTTCATTGTTTAAAATACATTTTGGGGGTAACAACGGTTAGGTTAAGATTCCAAGATGTACATATATTATCTTGAAGGATGTTAAATAAAAAATTCAAACTTATTGTTGGGATATGCTCAGATATAGATTTGATAGGGACCGGAAATAATAATACAAAATTCCATAAACATTTTTACCAAAATTTGAGAACAATCGGAAAAAATGTTTTTATTTTATTTAATTTTACTATTATTATTGTTTTCTTTTTTTAAAAAAAGTCGTCAATTAATTATACGGCTTCCTGTACCTGTAAATTAGTGAGGTTATCTATTCAATACAGTCGTTTGCCCTCATCACACAAGCTGTCGGTTTTATGTTTGATGGTAGATGACCGCGATATCACCTCGATATCGTCTCAAATCAGAGCATTTACTAAATATATAGGATATCATAATTCACGGTTGTTTATGTAATTAACGGATCTTCACGTGCCAAGTGTTTCGACCCAAAGGGCGAGTTACGGATGTTGACAAAACTGTCCCTCCATGCCTAATGCAAAAAAACGTACGCTGTAGAGTTCAGCACTTTGTGAGCCGAAACCGCGTTTAAACTGACCCAAGGATGTACAGAAAGTACCGAAAGTAGAAAAAGTACATAATTTTACTGCACCCATTGTCTGCTTTGTGATCCTATATTTAAGCATCCCGCACCACAAAGGGTTATGATGAGTAACAAAAATCGCCTGAGAATAAAGCGAGATTTTGCGGGAATTGGAATGGAGAGGGGTTTAGAAATAAGGGCAGATTAGCGAATGAGGTGAAGCAAAGAATAATAACTGATGTAAATTATAGACGAATATTGTTCTGGTTGTCTTCTTTTAAATAAAATTCCAGTTGTCGCACAACATTACGAATTTACCAATGCTTGTCATTGTCGTAAATCTTTCTAAGTACATGATGTAGATGTTTTGTTGAACCCGAATCGTCTGCTTCCAGAATAAATTTCAGAAACAATTTTGTTTTCACGTAGAACTGATCGGTATATTTCCATTGTTTTCAGGAAAGAGCCTACCGCCTTCTGTTTGCCATGTACGCCGAGGTCCACACCTTTATGGAGTTTGACGGCCGAGAAGGAGTCTCTCTCTACGATTACGAACAATGGATGAAATGCCAGCACCCTCAGATACCTCAGTTTCGTCTGATCAGGGCTGCACGCGGCGCATTTCAGCTACTCGATCGTGACCAGAACGGGCTTCTGGATGAGTACGACTTTTTGTATGCTGTGCAGAAGTTCTATACAGTAAACACCCCAAATAACATATATAATAATATAGTGTACGGCCCTTTGGTGGAGTAGGTAGCTACCGCCATCTTGTGATGCCGATCTTACCCGGAATTTCACGACTTTTCACGAATAGGTTGTGGGATCTCTTACGGTAGAGTGAAAAAGAGAGAGAGAGAGAAAAAAAGAAAATGCCACTCTAACAAAGCAGATGCAATTGGCCTTTCGAAAGGATCTCGATTGAAACAAACTTTAGTAGAGCACTAAGTTCTGGTGTTATCTTACTTTGAAAATTAACTTATGGATGCCATAATATTAACATCATCATATCATAAATTTAATTGATATATTTATTCATCAAATTAGCATTTCAAATGTTTGAAATTATGAAACAGTTACTTAAATTATTTTTTCTACTCTTAACTTATTGATACTTGAAGAAAGCGATAAAAAATAAGCCTTTTGTATAAGACTTATGAAAAATTGTGTAAACGCAAATAAAGAAAAAATATCTTCATTAAAGTTTATAAATAATTGAATGAAAACAAATGATCAAAGTCAATATCATGTTATTTATTGCCTCATTCAGAAGACATGAATAAACTTATAAACTCTTTGTTATATCTTGTGTTTTTTCTTGCCATTTAAATTCTACGTTTTTGATACTGCCAAAATACTGCTTAAAACCAACTGGAATGCTTTTTAAAAATTCATTGTTTTCAGTTTGTTTTAAAATTTACAGCAGGAGTCGCGCTGAAAGTAATTGCGGCTTTGAAATAGGAATGACAATATACCACTTCAGTTAGGCTTTCTTGTTAATTCTGATATATCAAAAGCCATTTATTAAGAGCATCCAGCTCTTAAAAAACGATTCTTCAATAAGTTCAACACTTAAAAAAAAATAAACAAAAACGAACATGTTGTGTGTGTGTGTGTGTGTGTGTGTGCGTGTGTTTTTAACTTGCAATTCAGGCATTTGGAAAAACAAATCCAGTTAAAAGTCCTACTTAGGATAAACACAGTTTCTATGGTCCACAATGGTCACTTTTGGTCCATAGTCCATATACTCTCCCAATCCTTGTTGTCTAGCAACCTTAAACATGCCCTCCAACTCGTCTTTAGTCACGTTGTTACGCCTGTGATAGAAGTTGATGCCCACGAAATCGATTCTTCCCAGCACCTGCAAAAGTAATAAAAATGATCAAAATACCGCTTGATCTGTTTCGCCTTTCTATTTTATCGTTGGAGTGTAAATGTATGAAAAACAATAAATAAATAAATAAATAAATAAAAGTGTAGACATATGATTATATACCTCAACACATTGGAACTCGATCACCCACTCATAATTCCCATCTTTGCCCACTTGGAGCGCCACCACCGTGTCGGGAAACACGACAGAAGGCAAGATGGGCCAGTGTCCCTCGAAGTAACCAGTGACATTGGTGATCTTGAAAGACAGGTTGTTCACGTAAGTGTGGTTAACACAGTAAAGGCTAAAGTAGTCGTACAGCTTCCCTTCCTCTGGTTTGTAAACTTTGTTGGCGCGTTGACAGCGACACCTGCCTATAGGCTGAGTGTAATCGTGGTATGCAAGCTCGTACCTAAAATAAAAGTGAAAAGTGAACATATGAAATGGCTGATTTTCACTAGCACTCGTGATCACACACGCACATGAAAAGGACAAGTGAGACATAGATGAAAGATGAAAAATTGAGCAGGTAAAGATGGGTGCTTGTGAAAAACCGTTAAATTAAATATTCGATGAAAAATTAATGAAAAGGAATGAAAGTAGGGGCTGCAAGATTATGCTATTGACATATTCTACCTCATTCGCAACTTTAAAACTGCACTGATCTTGCATAGACTGATAAACAATAAAATACATTATAGGAAACTGAATGTAGTTATTGATTCAAAATTTGAAGAAAGGTCAACTAAGCACGAATATCAATCGAGAACACATATTCTTACAGCCTACAGGGATGAAACTGCGTGTAAATGAATATCACATTACCTACATTGAAGAATAACATACCATATTCCCTGAAACTTGTTCAAGTTAAACTGAGTGGCTACAAAACTGGTCTGGATGTCCGGTACTTTCGGACAAGAGTGATTGTAGCCCGCAGAAACGCAGACGACCAGGGCCAGGACGCAGACAATCACCCTCACAGAGTCCATTGTCGCTGTGATCTGATCTGATGACACGATAGTGGGTCACGTTAGTAATCCAATCATAAAGGCCAAAGAGCCAAGATATGACTATTTTGATTCCCTGGCACAGTAATAAATAGTTAACATATCCAAACAAAACTTTACGTTTTTTTTCGGTTTGATCTCAGTAAAGAAATAACAGACACGATAAAATATAATGATGATAACTTTCACAATAAAAAAGTGATAAGAAGAAATAAAGATAAATGGATCAAAAATAAATCTTTAAATAAATGAACAGACAGACGCATACATACATGTAGATTAACACAGTAATGGATTAACAATCAACAATAATATTAATAACCTAAGGCTCATAATGATATTAAATAAAGACGGTTCGACCTGACAATATGTAATGAAATTCAAGAAATGAACACACATCACCGCCATGTTTTCAGAATTTCTCCATCCATTAAACTAACAATTCATTAGCTGGGTCTTAAACCGTATATAGAGGCAGGGTGATATGCGTGTTCCAAAGTGTGAATCTCGTTTGTCTGTATGTATGGGTAACTGTTATCACAGCTAATGCTATGCACGTTTGGGGTCGGTAACAACACGTAAGCTGATAAGATAATACACGAATATGGTGCATTATACAGGCTATAGCCATAATTGTAATTTTAAAACGTAGGATTTTTATTATGAAGATGTGGATCTTTCAATACCTAAGTTAAGTCAACTTGAGAAATGTCTCGAAACTAGATTAAAGATTGATTCAGAGAGGGCCAAATGGGTGGTTCTTTTGAACCCTTCGCCCCAATGCCCAGTGGCCTCTATATAATTAATTTATATAACTGTAGTAGAGAATCAGCATTGTGATAAATTAGACTGTGGTAGTGAAGACACGGCCGTGCATTGGTTGCGTGGGTAATTGCGCTTTTGTACGACACTCTTCTAATATTATTTTAACACAGATTCCACATCAAGGTGGATTCAAAAGTGCAAGTAGACAAATAAATAATTCCTCACTCGAGCATCTTGTTTTATTTTCAAATAATGATTCCCAATGTACGGTTTATTAGTGTGAGGTATCAATGTCCAAATTTCTATAACTATTGGATACTCATCACAAACAGAACATGATTTTACAGCTTAAATGCATAGACGGTCTATGGTACACCTATACGGCAAACCGGAGTTATGAAGTACTTGTCATATAACAGAGTTTTTTTTTCTAATTAAAAAAATTCTATTATATGTTATGTTACGACGATACCATAGCAATTTCTAGGCCTACTTATTCAATTTCAGCAAATGAAATTTTCTTCAAAGTTATGCACCATGCATGTCTAAACTGGCGCAAGGTATCCAGATTTAAAACTGTTTAATTGGAAACTGAATTAAACTTCAAGGTAGTGTCGGGGTAAACACAGTTTCTTTGATCCACAATGGTCACTTTTGGTCCGTAGTCCATATATTCTCCTAATCCTTGTTGCCTAGCAACCTTAAACATGCCGTCCAACTCGGCTGTAGTCACGTTGTTACGTCGGTGATAGAAGTTAATACCCACGAAGACAATTGTTCTAAGTAACTATAAAATCAAGAAAAAAAAAAAAATATATATATATATATATATATATATATATATATATATATATATATATATATATATATATATATATATATATATATATATATATTCGAATTAAAAAAATGAAATTATCATGTGTAGATCTAGCCTATTTGTTTGGCTGTCGTTTTTATCTTTTTTATTTTATTTTTTTAAATTTGCTATGCATGCTAGAGGACACAAGCTTTATAGATGGAAAATAATTAAAATTAGGTAAAGGAGTAACACAACGGAAGAACAGACACTTAAACTAAAATAAAAAGGTTTATACATAATAAATACCTCGACACATTGGAACTCGATCACCCACTCATAATTCCCATCTTTGTCCACTTGGAGCGCCACCACCGTGTCGGGAAACACGACAAAAGGCAAAATAGGCCAGTGTCCCTCGAAGTAACCAGTGACATTGGTGATCTTGAAAGACAGGTTGTTTACGTAAGTGTGGTTAACACAGTAAAGGCTGAAATAGTCGTACAGTTTCCTTTCCTCTAGTTTATAAACTTTGTTGGCACGTTGACAGCGACATATTCCAATAGGCTGAGTGTAATCGTGGTACGCGAGCTCATACCTGGAAAAATGGAAATTGTGTGTAAAGATGTGCGTAAATGCATGTGTTCGCGCGCTTTCAAGAGAGAGAGAGAGAGAGAGAGAGAGAGAGAGAGAGAGAGAGAGAGAGAGAGAGAGAGAGAGGGGGGGGGGGGAAGAGAACGGTACATGTAGAAGGTGAGGGCAATTAGGCCTATGGAGCGGCATGTTAGTAAAATACCAGTAGGCCTATAGGCCTACATGATCTGAACGGGCTACCTGGGTGTAGGGCCTATAGATAAGTTTACAAATGTAGCTACATGTACTAGTACATGCATCTATTTGTCTATGGCAACTTATGTTGCATATAAACGAACATGTGTATTTGTTAAAAGAATGAAACGCAGTACTTCATGATTAGGCCTATCAATTTTGATATAGGCCTACCCTGTAGGGCCCCTACTGGTAGGCTATAGGGCCTTCGTTTTGAATATGGGTCCATTTCATAAGACTATCAATAACGACTTCGTGTATCTGGTATATATGTACAGCTGATGTTTTTACAATTATGCTACCTTCGCCCAGTACTACAAAAAACATAACGCATATGCCTACTGTTTTAACAGGTGATTATTCTATCTATGCATGTAGGCCTAAGTGCCCTTTATTTTGTTTTTAGTTTTCAAATACTCAGATTACATACCATATCCCCTGAAACTTGGTCAGATTGAAGTGAGTGGCAACGTAGCGGACAGGAGTGGTTATACTGGTACCCGCATGTCTCCTTAATGACCGTCACCATTACCAGTAGGCATGTGACGGACTTAACTGTTTCCATCGTCACCCAGAGCAGTAAGAACCCGTAGTGGATTTCATTTCACAATCGAATATGGCAGAAAATTACTGAACGCATCTGTTAAGCCATCATATATATATTATACAGGTGCATGTAGGCCTACCTTAGAGTGATATAAAATGGAAAATGTAAACAAAAAATGAATACCAATACAACATCGATAAACACGCATTACCGGCTACCAATAGAAGGGAAATTAACGCAGGCCACCATATATATATGAGCTGAGCGAATTTGGTGGCGATTTTGGTGTTGAGCATTATATTATATTATTATGTAATAATTTGTGCATTAAAATGTACATTTAAATTTGCATTTGTGCATCATTATTTACTGTCAAATAGCACACCAGAGGGGCTGATAGGTTGTCACACCTACCACAACCTCATTCCCTGATGACGTCTGACTGCAAGCAGACGAAATATTGGCTGGTAAGACTAGACAAATTTAAGTAGCTATAGACAAAAAATCTTCACAGGTCTATTACAATAACATAACTAATGAAGCTGTTCTACATTAAAATATATCGATATATGTACATATAACGACATAAACACGTTTTGAAAATTTTATTATGTAGCCTAATAACATTTAATTACAATAGTGAAAGGGAACGAAAATTAATATAAGAAATTATTCACATACAAATTCCATTAAGTATACTCTAACTTATTCTTTAAAACCTCTGAAAATGCAAATATCATTATGCCATTGTGCTGAGACTGTGGAAAACACTTAAACATTGTGGACACTAATGCAAATTAGACAGCGATGCTGGCAAATATACAGACACCTGTACAAGTCATTTCAAGTCATTTCAATTTATCCGTTATGTATGTAGATCTGAATATTTTACATTCAAGTAAATAATAAAAAGTCCACATTTGCAAGTTTTACAGCGCATGACTTTATGAACTATGAATACAGTTTTGATCTTCAATGGATTTGCTGGTTTACCTAACATTCCCATCTACACCATTTGAAGATGAAGCGACCAAAATATTCAAATACTAGTAAGTCAGAAAATTGGAACGGGTTACTAACCGCCGTATACGCATTTAAACTTAAAACAAAATACTATTCTATTTTGATACAATTCGAATATGTGCCAATCCCTTTCAAAGCACAGTGTACTTGGATAAAGAACATGGAAAACAGTGCTACAAAACAACACCAAATGTGCCAACTAGTTCTGTGGAATAAACTGACCATACTGATCTTTTACCTCAACGGGCATGTACATCAAACAAAGTCAATCAACTAGCAAAATATTAGAAAAACAAAAAATACGCTTTTGGCACCTAAGCCAATATACCAGTACCTGTATGTAAAGATATACAAAATCCATTAACTTTCATTAACTTTAGCTAACCTCAATGTCTTAAAAGCTTAACGAAGTGTACAATATCGTCTCGATGTGCAGTGTAAATCGATGGCTCATACGGTGTATTTATTCTATAACCTCGTATTTTCATGTCCATCTGCTGTCATACATGTACTCCCTGCCCTTGTCCACTTATGATCCGATGTCGATCGTTCGGAAGTAGCGGTTTTAAAACCTTTCACAAACGAGCGCCCAACTTTGTTCCACAAAGGCTGCAAACAAATATGCATAAAGGCACATACCACCGGCCTCATGTTAAGCACAATCATTTGCATCCACTGAGCAGCGTTCTCGGACACTGGCGTGTTCATAAAGTGCAAGATGCACGAGACAGCAAACGGGAACCAACGTATGACGTCAGACAATGCAATTTCAAAACAGCAGCAAACACTGTGAAAATCATTTAACGAAGATGGAGATCTCAGAGAACACAACAAATACAGGAAAATTGCCGCAAAAGTCGTTACAGAAATTACGAACATGGATAGATATGTGATTTCAATAGCTAAAGCCGCATACTGAATCTCAGTTATAAGACTGCTTAAAACAAAAGGATAGCAGGAGCTGGAGTGGATTTCAACCTTCACTGATAAAAGAACACCAAGAAAAGTTGACGAAGCGAGGACAGCAATTATGCCAACGCACAATGTGCGCTTTAACAAGTGTGGTTTTTC